ATAATACAAAAAGCTGCATGATCAGGGGTACTTTAGGTGGTACTTTTAGTTTTGGATGTATTTTTGGATTTCAGCTTAGTGTTGCCGACTGTGTCGCCGCTTTACAGCCGTGAAAATCAAATATTTTTTGAGAATAAAACTACATGAAAAATTCAGCATCACTCACACATGCATAATGTGCCATTTCGTTTGACAAATGCTGCCGGAATCGCAATCTCTGTGCATCGACACCAACCCTGAGCAGGTATTTATGCACCCGTACCATATAATAGGCAAGCGTTTCATTCGCAACCGTTTTCTCAAAAAAAAAGTGACATTTCAACAAAAAACATATTCAAATAGTGTTTTTTCACTTTTCTAAGTTGGTGACAACACTGTACTAAATAAGAAACGTGGTTTTTCACATTTGTGCCGAAGCACAGGTGCCACTGATCTGCCGGTTCTTTTACATGCATTGGTTTTAACAGTCTTTGTCCTCGCCGTCCATTTCTCCTTTTTTCTTATCAATGTTATGTCCAGGAGGTTACAACAATATAGCAGCGCTCAAGTGATAAAATAAAACGAGACCTTCACTTTTGAGCTGGAACAAAAAGGATACCTTCTCGACAGCTTCGCCAACCGAGATTGTCTGCGCAGGCAGGCCGTCCATCTGATTACACGCTGAGAACAGGACCAATTCATAATCTCTAACATCACCAAATTTAGGATGACTTTTATCATTCGGATCAACGAAATGCTCGATTTCACACATCGTAAACTCGCGAACTCGTATCAACCCTTGCCTTGGCGAAATTTCATTTCGGAATCCGGAACCAATCTGTGCAGCCGCAAATGGCAGCTTACCCTGCAATTCCATGCAGCTGGTAAACACTGGAATGTAAAAATTCCACTTCAAATACAAAAAAAATTTCAATATCAAAAATGGGGAAAAACATGCCCCACAAATAGAAAAATATTACTTCGAGACTTCTGACTTTGCTAAAAATACGAAAAAGAAAACAATTCTTCTTGTTCAGGATTGCCAGACACGAAGAAATAATATCAAAAAATTGGCCGACGCATGA